CGAATTTTGTCTCCGATGTGCTGTAATGTTTCTATCGCGTTTGAAAAAAGATTCGGTCATGCTTTGCCCAGAATTGGCCGGCGTTGAATGAAATTCAAACCCAAATGCCAGCGACGTAGTTGTGGTATGTCCAGCCCTCTATCATTTGGGCCACAGAAACAGCCCAGTTGGTAAAAGGAAGCAGTTTGAAATAAAAAAGAATATGTAAGGCCTCGTGTTGGAAAGGACCGCACGTAACGCGCATATGATGAAAACCACCGTTAAGATATAGATGGCATGCATGATCTTGGCAAAAGTGTTGAAATATCTCGAACCGTAATTAAAATAGGATTGGTCAGGCCGGAAGGACTTTGGTACATTGCAGCACATATATCGTGAGATTCAGCCTGATTGTTGTATACTTTTTCACGAAAAATGCATAAAACCTTTCCGGTTTTGGTTCACAAATTTCAAGTATGCCACTATGTTAATTATTTCGAACACATTGTATATATATTCAAGCAAGCACACTGTAGCCAACGCCTTCATGGACCTGGTAGCAAAGCTGGAAGGGATGATAAGAGGAAACTGTTCGGGGATTAATCACACGACGGAGAAAGCCGAAGTGACGAAGGAGGTGGTGGCCAGGAGGGTCTCCCTGGTCCGGATGACAGAAGGTATGTGAAATTAATTCTGCCGAAAAAAACAAAGGCGACTGCGAAAAAAAAACAAGGAAAAAGATGGAGAAGGGGATGGAAAATGCCAATTTCACTGTCAATCAGAACACTGTCTTGACTGCTTATGTGTTTCATTTTTCGGAGGGGAGCGCTAGCACCGCTATTAACTCAAGTCACAAGATTACCACATTCACGCTATTCACCTTATGGTTCCAACCAGCCCTACCGGGCATTCATCTATCTATCTATCTATCTATCTATCTATCTATCTATCTATCTATCTATCTATCTATCTATCTATCGATCTATCTATCTATCTATCTATCCTATCTATCTATCTATCTATCTATCTATCTATCTATCTATATATCTATCTATCTATCTATATATATATATATATATATATAAAGTTTCAGAACACCACTTCGCGGGTGGGTGGATTCACAAGACGTTCATATTCATGATGCTTGTCAGGATCTTATCAAAATATGCGTATATTTTAGACGTTGGCAGAAATGAGGCAGTAAGCTAGCTATAATCGTGACACTATTTTAATTATGCATTGCGGTATTTGGGTTCCTGAGATTGGCGTGCACGCCGAATAGTTGGACACTATGTGGCTCGTGGCCGGTCGAGGCTTCTCTCAACCCTGCTACTCACATGCATCTACCGAGTTACTCAATGGGCTACAGGCCCCAAGTGTGTCATTCAAAACCATGCATTTGTGCCCGTCGCAGGTGCCTCAGTTGGTTCTCACACCTCAGGTGCCGCGCGAGAGCATCCGCCGGCGGATGCGGCCGACCGGTGACGGGCTGATGACGGCCTCGGCCGGCCTGCGGTTCACGGCGCGGCGTCATCACTTCAAGACGGGAGTCATGCAGCTCAAGTGTGCAGCCATGCTCGGCGACGTCTACTGGGAGAGCGCCCAGGTGGAGCTGCCCCTCTGGACCGAGGACGGCCCGAACACCGGCGGCGGCCGCTCGTCCGGGACCGGTGAGTGTTCGCCGGTGTCAACGGGAGTGTCCGCTGGGGTCAGGAGTGTGTCTGCCGGGGCCAGGAGGGTGTCCGTCGGGGTCAGGGGACCGTCCGCCAGAATCAGGGAAGTGTCTGCCACGGTAAGGGAGTGTCCGCTGAGGCCAGAGGAGTGTTCGCCGGCGTCAGGGGAGTGTTCGCCGTGGCCAGAGGGGTGTTCGCCGGGGCCAGAGGAGTGTTCACCGGGGTTAGGGGAGTTTTCGCCGGGGCCAGAGGAGTGTTCGCCGGGGTCAGGGGAGTGTTCGCTGGGGCCAAAAGAGGGTCCCCCGGGGTCAGGAAAGTGTGTACCCGGGTCAGGAAAGTATCCACTGGGGTCGAGGGAGTTCCAAGGGGGTCAAAGTGTCTATCGAGACCAGGTTCTCCGATGTCAGAGGAATAGGGGCATCAATTTGTATACTTTCGGGGGGAGGGGGGGGGGGAAGAGGGCTGAGTATCCCCGAATGCTGTACTGCGTCCTTTCAGCCTCTCTGAGCTCTTCTCTCCCGCCCCCTCCCCCCCCCCAATGCATCTGAGCAAAAAAGGAAAACTTGGCCATTGGAATGCAGCAAATATCCGGGAACTGCTAATACGCCAGGTATTTAAACACATCGGTATCGAGACAAAAAGTGAAATGAAAAAAGCCAAATGGAGGGAATCTAGCGAAAAAACTCCACAGGATCAGCTGGGATGAAAATCAAATCTGAAAAACATGAAAGACAACATGACAAAAAGGAACTAAAGTGGAATCGGAACAAAGTCATAAAGGGTAAAAATTCGAATCGGAACAAAGTCAGAGGACAAAACGAACATGGCAAAAGACTACAAGACCTTGTCGGTCGCCAGCTCTTACTAAACACATCCGTGCATGGTCGTTTCGAAAAGTTCGGCTGCCTCGTTTAGCGAAAAAGATGACAGAGTAAAGGTTAAGAGCCGTCTTCTGTAGTCGGTATCGTTATGGACCTTGGATTTTAGTCATTGTGTGAACTGATTTATCTGAAGCGTAACAAATGCTCAATTCTTAGTTGATGGCTTAGCCCTATAATCCCTCACTTGCTAAGTATATGAAAGACTGAAGAAGACCCGTAGAACAAAAGCGGAGAAAGTGAACATCTGCAGAAACTGAAGTAGATCCGTAGAAAAGAAATGGATAACTTGTGGCCAAATTTGAAACAGTTTTTACCTAACGAAGTCGCTATTTTAACCATATTTTGCCTATTCGCAGGCAGCGCTTCTCGTGTTGTAATCTACACATTTAGGGAGGATTCCGAATGGCGCTACAGCGACCCCAATATCTTTCAGAGCCTTTCCGCTCCATTCAACTGCTTTTGCGCTTCGGTAAGGCATTCTGTGGATCTAAAGGGCAAATTAGCTCATGTATTCGCCAATGGCATTGCACTGACCATGCGGAAATGTGTGTTACGAAGAGGCGCTGACACCGACACAAGAGGTAATCACTGTTTGGAATATGAATGTGTGACGTGCGCCTGGGAATATTACCTTGAACGTCAATCATTCGCATATCACAAAACAAAACAAAAACATTGGCCTGGACTCAACTAAACGCTACCGAGCCATGCCTTTGGGTTGCACTGACGGCAGAGTTAGCTGTTCTTCATATTGATAATATACAGTATTAAAGTGCGCGAATAAGTGACCACATGATTACATATGATTGGTTGATCACATCACATGGTACAACAATATGGTCTGTATACTTATTCACTTAGCCAATGGGCACCTCTTTATTCATAAGTGATGCACGGTACGCTAACACTGCGGCAATGCAGTTGTGGTTAAGGCAAGACGGCGGGCACGGGCACGGCTTCACCCGCAACCTGATGATCAAGCTGAATGATGGCATCAGGAACAGCAGAGACCCGTCTTCCGTCTTCAATAGACCTGTCCTGAATAATTGCCTTCAGTGAAATATTCAGCTATGCGTGTCTTTTATACTTTAAACCGTGCTTACGCGCTTTCGATAAATTTCTTGCGCCGTTGAAACTCGGTACACGCTTTAATTTTTTGTGCTATTAGCGATTTTTAATGAATGGATTTCTGGGATAAAAGCCTACGCTAAACAATGCTTATTGCATGAGCCCTGACCACCGCCATCCGTTCGAGACAAATTGAGTGTGCTGCGATACTTGGCACTGTCCGCCCAGCCCTCTGATATTACATTACACTGGCGTGACCGCTGCCACCGGCCACAGACCACCCCAGTCACGGACAAATAGTGAACGATTAAAGCGACTCGACCTCACCCTGCCACGGGTGGTTGGATGTGAAGGCAGCCGCTCTAACCCACAGAGCTATCGGTCGAACTATCGTAGCCCCAATCGTAGCACTACATACTACAGTATCGTATCGTTCATACCCTACATACTACAGTATCGTATCGTTCATGCGCTGCATACCACAGTATCGTATCGTTCGTACCAACCCAACATTGGTCGAACCAAACCTGGCGAAAGCCACAATGTCAGAAGCAGCACTACCAGCGAGAGCGAACGTTCGGTGTCCCAAGGCCAGAGACTCTTTGTTTGTGCCGCCTGTGTCGATGAAAGGGAGTGTTTCACTTTGTATGAGGTTTTGAACTGGGGAAGCGATTTTGAGACCACTCGGTGCAGTTCACAGCACTGTCCTTCTTAACACTAAAAAAATGAAATGAAAACTGAAAAATAAAATTGAGCTTTCCAGTGATCAGAACACCGATGGCCGAGTGCTTACCACTTTGGACTCCCGCTTGCGGGGGGGAGGGGGAAGGCAGTTCGAAGTTCGGTTGCATTAAAGGTCCTGAGTGCTAATGCGGTCAACGCAGTCACTGGGCTCCATAAAAGGGGCGTGACGACGTGCGTCGCGTTCACTGTTGGATGGAAGGAGGCGGTGTTGACGGTAACCCCGTTCTTGTCCTTAAGGTATCTTCTAAAAAGCCACGATTGGACGAATGTGAAGTCAGTGATGAGTGCTATTCTTTTTAATATGTTTTGCCACTAAAAAGTCGTCTGTGATCCCCACAGTTTTGACTGTACGCGAAACACAACTGTCACCGCCGAGTAAAACGTCGGTTACCTTTTATCTAGGTTACCCTGTGTACACGGTACTTTGACAGAGACTCACCGTTTGCTTCCATCTTCCTACGACTTCTTTGCATGACTTGATACTGATGCATTGTTAAAACGAGATTTTACAGCACAGTGCGAAGGGCCTCACTCAGTGTAGCAGATATCCGTTCGCACGGAGAAGAATAGGTACCATCGCCACACGTTCACAGAACTACGGGTCACAAGATACCCACACCGCTGTCTGCATTTGTTAAGTAAGGTTTGCTGCCAAACATGCCTGCGTGTGTGGTGAAAAGTATCACGCTGTTGTACGGGCAGCCATTATTTTTTACGACTTAGTCCAACCCTTTTGATTGAATAAACTTTTTGGGGTGAGCGCTCAAGCTAAGTGCTGCTTGATGCGTGAACCTTGCCAACTCAACATAAAGCAGAATTTGAGGACGCGTGCAGCTTATTGGTTTATTTTTTATATAGGCACATCCTGGCAGGTATACACGAAGTTGTTTTGCCTCTCGACACCTTTTTTGACACACCTGTTTTCTTTGATTGCAGCCGATCAAGTTGCTAATATTTTTTCTTTGAATTACACCCCTTCCTCAGCCTTCTACAAAATGCAGCTTCCTTTCGGCTTTAAAGAGGTTGGAATGTAATTCGTCAGTATCAAAACAATTTGGAATCAGCGAAGACTTCGTTGGCGTCGGGGACGCGAATTAAGGTGACCGAAATCAGGGGACAAATCAGAATATGGCGTAGGTTAGGTCAACTTTGTCGAATTTGCCCCTAAATCCGACGTCAGAAAGTGACACCCCTACAGCGAAGCATCCTCGGGGGTCAGGGAAGGTCAAGAGGGATCATGGAGTGCCGGTCCGGCACCAGTGAATGGGCGGTCCTTGCTCCTGTGACTGCTCGCTGGGCGCCGGTGAGTTTCGGACGGTTTTCCGGGAGTGCCTAGCCGGGCGCAGTCAGTACCCGCCGCGTTGGTGAGGTCTGAGTGAATATGGTAATAGAGGCGTCTGGCGAGAAGTGGGAAGAATTGGTCCGCCTCTTATAAAGGTTTCGAATGATCAGTCAATGCACGTATGGCTACCACTTCCCAATTGTTTCGAGTTCGCAGCAATCAAATTCGCGCGCTTTAAAGCCATACACTGGAATCGATGATGAGTGGTGGCATACAACGATTTGGTAACGATGCTATACACAAAATATCATACTGGCTGCCCAAATTACTGCATGCATATGCACATACCACGCTTACACCAACGCATCTTCATAACTCCGCGTCCACTAATACACAATGCACTAACCCGCCGTCGCGGAAGCCCCTCGAAACAGATCGTCCAGCGCCCCAACAGGCACTTGCGAAGCTGAGAGACCATCCCAGGCTCCATAACCGTCCGCCGTAATGAATTCGTGCTGGCGCAGTCGGGCGCCACGGCGGCCTGTGCTGATGGCACGCTGCGTGGAAATGCGACCGTCCAGCCTGATGGATACCGTCACCGGACACTAATTCACGGCGAATTCCGTCCCACCGGAGCGTCATCTCGGAACGAGCCGAGAACGAGCCTCGGGCCGTTGGTGGCCGGCGTCGGGCGGCGCTCAGTCACGCGACCGGCAGCAGCGGACGTGCCGTAGTGCGGTAGTTCACGCAGCAGCAGCACGTGCGTCAGCACGCACGTGCTCTGAATGTGCACCACGTCCGGTATGAGCGGGACTCCGGTGCAGGAATTCCCCTCTCCCTCCAGGGTAAAGGGTAGAATTTAACATAACAGTTTAAACTAGGAAAGGCCTTTTTACTGTACGCTTCTGTTCTTGCCATGCTATAGTGGTTCTGTCGGCCTTCGTCAAAGTATGAAATATGGGGAAAAGGCTCCGTCTGTCAAGACTCCCCAGCTTTTATGGAGAAATGCCCGGCCAGGGCATTCCTTTATTTTGCTGATGCATTCGAATATTTGAACTCGAAGGAACGACGACGGGAATTCGACTCCTGATCTAAAGCAATTTGTGCGGGCATCAGCATGAGCTGGTCATGTGGCGCGACTGTAAACGATCCGAATGCACTTTTTCTTTTCCACGAAACAACATTCCACGCAACATTCGGACATCGTCCTGAATTAACTCATGACGTCCCTTCGATTCGGAATCTACCGGCTAGCACCGCTTGGGTGTGAACTAGACACAGTCCAAGATCTACCCATCCTGATGTGTCAGACACTCATCGATCACATCACGACGAGAGGGACTGTCGTGGTCGCTGGCGCCGTCGTCTCCCAGGCCGCTCGCAGCGAAACAGCCTAGCCTATGCGCCAGGCCCCAGCCAGCCGCCACACGAAGGCCTCCGTCCCCACGGGTAACCCCACCCGTCGGGCCAGGCTCATGTACCCACGAGTGACTCCACCCGTCGGGCCAGGCTCATGTACCGCACGAGTGACTCCACCCGTCGGGCCAGGCTCATGTACCGCACGAGTGACTCCACCCGTCGGGCCAGGCTCATGTACCGCACGAGTGACTCCACCCGTCGGGCCAGGCTCATGTACCCCACGGGTGACTCCACCCGTCGGGCCAGGCTCATGTACCGCACGAGTGACTCCACCCGTCGGGCCAGGCTTATGTACCGCACGAGTGACTCCACCCGTCGGGCCAGGCTCATGTACCGCACGAGTGACTCCACCCGTGGAGCCAGGCTCATGTACCGCACGAGTGACTCCACCCGTCGGGCCAGGCTCATGTACCGCACGAGTGACCCCACCCGTCGGGCCAGGCTCATGTACCGCACGAGTGACTCCACCCGTCGGGCCAGGCTCATGTACCGCACGAGTGACTCCACCCGTCGGGCCAGGCTCATGTACCCCACGAGGACTCCACCCGTCGGGCCAGGCTCATGTACCGCACGAGTGACCCACCCGTCGGGCCAGGCTCATGTACCGCACGTGACCCCCCGTCCCTCGGGCCAGGCTCATGTACCGCACGATGACTCCACCCGTCGGGCCAGGCTGTACCGCACGGGTGACTCCACCCGTCGGCCAGGCTCATGTACCGCACGAGTGACTCCACCCGTCGGCCCAGGCTCATGTACCCCACGGGTGACTCCACCCGTCGGGCCAGGCTCATGTACCGCACGAGTGACCCCACCCGTCGGGCCAGGCTCATGTACCGCACGAGTGACCCCACCCGTCGGGCCAGGCTTATGTACCGCACGGGTGACTCCACCCGTCGGCCCAGGCTCATGTACCGCACGAGTGACTCCACCAGTCGGCCCAGGCTCATGTACCCCACGGGTGACAATAGGCCGGGGCGTCGCACGGGTTGACCGGCGCTGCGGGACCATAGCCACTTAATACCCACTGTTGCACGCCTGGAACGAATAAATGAGACGAAATTTTCACATTAGGGATGGATGTAAAAATTTTCTGACTGGTCGTCGTCTTCTGTGTTAGCACGTTCACAACCTTTCCGCCCTTTCATTCTTCAGCCGCCGTCAGTTGAGTCCTGAAAAGGTTTAGATGGTGCTCGTTTGCCAACTATGTGTGCGTCAAAAGGCAAAATGTATTCTTGAATTTGCGGACATTGGAGCCCGAACAGCATCTTCATGCGAACAATAAAATCTAACAGCGTGCAGAAAGTAATTGCCTGAAACGTTGAGCACATTCAACACACCGTGCGAGGACAGTAGGAGAGGACTTCGAAGGTTGGGTAAGCCCTTGTGTACCCATATGGAATGCGTAACTGGCTGAATTTGGTACATATTCTGGAAAATTACGGATATGGTTGCCGATGTGGCTAAAATGTGAAAGAAATATTGCGTACGCATTTCAGGAAATGATTGACAATGGTACGCTTACGCCACTTTTAGGCTTATTACTGGTTCCAGCCACACTATTTTTGCTGCCATCAACGCGAAAGAGAAAGTTTGGATGCAAAATTATCCGAAATCCTTTCATATATATATATATATATATATATATAGTATATGTATATATACACACATATAACTCTCACTTAAGTGTGGGAAAGATGCAAATGGCTAACAGCGAAGCTCAGATGGGCAATTTGTGTGTAAGGATGAAGCCCCATGAAAGTGGGTGGTTTGGGTAAAGCAAATATTTGCCGTGAAAACCTCTAGTCGAAAATCCGAACGAAAAGTCCGTCGGTACTATTTTTCCGCCTTCAGTGTTCGGCCCTCAGTGAGCTCTTCTGTTACAGGAGCGGTCGCCACCACAGACCGCCACCTGTCGACCGTGCTGCTGGTGACCCTGCTCGTGACAATGACCCCACGGCTCTGCTGACCTCGGGTCAAGGTCATCGCGAGCCGTCCCGCCGCCAGCAGGGCGCTGCTCATGCTTCGTTGTTACTGTGCCGCTTGTGATATGGATAGGCCGGGGGCTATGATTGGATGTTTCAGGTGCGCAGGATGATGTAAATACATATGCATGTAAATCGTCTGTGTTCGTAAAAAAGGGCCGTTTTAGAAGTATTTACATTTGGTTGCAACTAGCATGGATTATGAGCGCGCGTTGAACGTCAATGAAACGGCAGAAAGTCCTGAACATCTCTGCTGTAATCTGACGCGCTAGTTTAAATCAGAGGCAGCGTAAAGTAGATGTACCTGCTGCTGGGTCGTCTGCCCTTGTGGCTGACGGAGGTGGCAGGACAAGGACCTCAGCTGGCGACCTGAACGTCTTTTGATCTGAAATCGATACCGAATCCTTGTCTCTGAGAGCAAGTCAAGTTAAATAGGAAAAATTTTAGGGACGGAGAGAAAGCTGTGGAACGAGGGAGGAGATGCAGTATGTGTAGGAGAAGCATCGGCTGAAATGTTGGGAACAGGTGGGATCCGGCAGCTCTGTGACCTGAAAATGTTAACTGAAAACATGAGAAAAAAGTGAATTTAAAAATTGAGAAAAATTAGTGATGAAACTGACGTATCGGAACAATGAACTCGCGTACATCATGAAGAATACTTTTCTCCGTCCAACGTTCTGGAAATTCATATTTTACGCAGTCACCACGTCAAATAGGATGCGACAACAGCGTACCTGATCGATGCATCACTTTCCAAGTGCATCTGCCGGGTTGGTAGGATACGGTTTCAATGCAGTTGGTTCCCTTGGCACTGGTTCCATGCAGTTGGGAATTCGGGGATTTGTCGTTTGCCTTGCCCGATGTAGAATGTTTAAAGTATCAACATAGATGTGACCAGGCGCATTGATACACCCAGACCAATTCGCGTTTTTTAAAATATCTTGAACCAGGTTCGTTAAAAAATATATTGACTGGTATGTTACACCTGGAAACAACCATAGACAAATTCCCAAGATCACAAATAGCGCAGCTCCAGCATCTAACAATATTCCATGCACAGTGACATCACATGTGTGTCCTAATGCAATAGCACCTACTGCTTCGTCTTGACTTACAGAGACTCGTTTGGGCCTCAGTCATCCCGTCTGTAGCATCGTATGCGTACCATACACAGGATTCACAAACACGCCGAATATAGGTGTACTTACTGACGTCGCATGGCTGTGCTTGGAAGCCAGATGGTTCCTGCAACTTCAGCCTTTTTCTGACTCGAGTGTCGTAGTCGAGTTAAACCTTGGGAGGTAATGGCCTTCTGCTTCATATTAGCTTCGCCATCAAGTGGCATGCCTATGTCGCCAAGCTTGGACAGATAGTCAGGCGCCTCGAATTACGCGTTTCAGGTATACAAATTCATATACCGTACGTATACTACGCATACTCGTTCGGTATACGTATACTCGTTCGATGGGAAGAGTTTGTGATACTGACAACGGTCCGCTGATGAGTTCGAGTGCGTGCGATCACGCATTTTGGCGTGTGGTGTAAAACTGCTCTGATGTGCCTGTGTAGATCGCCTAGTCCTAACGCCACTCAAAACTCGTACCTTGTGCACTGTGTAAAATTCAGTTGACGTCGTGTGCATCACATCCGTGTCAGACTTTTCAACACGTGATTCTGAGATGAACGAGTAAATTCTTAGATGACATTTCAAGTCTTCCTTCTCGCGAGATGCATTCGGAGCGCCGCCGCCTTCAAACGTCCGCACCGGAGTCAGCAGCGCACGCTCTAACGACCCCATGCGGCCCATTCAGTCCGGGCATTGCTATATCAGTATCCAGCGAATCCCTGCTGGGCCGCTGCTGTCTGAAACCGCACCGGCAAATGAATGCCTCTTCTGCGAAGCCGGGTGCACGCCGTATCGGAGCCGGCCCGGGGCACTGGGTCCTGTGAGGCGGCCAGTAATTGGCTGGGTACACGCCCGGCGCCGAGGGACGACGAGCGACCAGCGCGGCTGCGGTACGGGTCACCGGTCGCGCACGGTGCCAAGTCGACGATGGGATGACGGGACTCGGTACAGCACGCCGGACTCTGCTGCAGCGGAGTGCCACATGCTGGGTACTGTGCTACAGGTACCATCACGGTACCGCCATTGCATGAGACGTGGAGAACTAATGATCGTCGGTTAGGTTCCCAATTAATAACGAACCAATCAGAAATGTCAGTGTTGACATCGATATCAATTCCCATGACCATCGATGCCTCGAACGCTGCATTGTACCCGAAATGAAAAATTGAACCATGCCCGCCATTATTTGTACAGCAACAACTCTTCGCCCAGTCGTGTGGAATGTACGGAGCGTCGCACGTCCCTGGCCACCACACGAACGTCTCAAGCCCCGAGCCGTCTGGAGACCTCACCGACCAGCGCATCTCCCCCTCCCCTCCCCCCCCCCCTCGCCGCAACCGCCCTCGACGTTGCCCGGTGTCCCGGATCCCCACAGGAGTAGCGGCAATCCACGCTGAACGACTTCCAACTGGTCAGCCGGGTGATGCACGGCGATCCGGCCTTCTCGGAACTTTTAGGCTAAGCCACCGACGTCCACCAGGCTCTCTATGACAGCGCATTGACCGGGTAGTTCGGGCAACGTTGGCCACGAATTCACCGTTTAAGTTTGAAGACTTAGTTTTGGGGTAATTGAAATGCACACCGAATGTCTTCCAAAATGTTATGACCGTTATTTTCAACGACAGACCATCACTGACTAAGCCACAGCCTTAATTTTCCTGTGATGTATGTGACGGAGCTCGCAGCGGTGTAATCCAGTCATGGGGATACCTGTCTGTGACGTGTTGTGCAGTTTGTTGATACGATCGCGTTCAATCCGATGTTGGTTGCAGAATATAACTTCAACCGTACCAAGGTAAGGTTTTGGCAACCGGGCACCAGAGCGGTAGAATTCAATTTTATTTTGTGTGTGCCTCTTATGTGTCACATTGTACTGAGTTACACACATACTGTATTGCACATTACCCGTGTTTGTGTATATTCACCTCACGGCTATTGATACTTTGCAGCGGAGCTGACTTTATACGTGGGATTGTTTCAAATCATTGTTTCTCGTGTCAATCACGAACATATTTTGCTGCTGAGGTCAGGACAGATCAGTTCAAATCAGCGAGAACTCACGATTTACGCTCCAAGAAATTTCATCGAAATAAATATTTGATGTTAAGAACAACACTAAGCTTCTGGTCCTTCTGTGTGTTCAGTTTTGATGGAGCCACTGCATTAAAGCAATGAAACCGTTCTATACAAAGAGAGCTCGTTAACGTACTGCATGAACAACTTTATAATCTTTCCCCATATGACTAATCCGTCTCCCTCATATTGGTGCCCAAGCAATGCAAATTACCGCCAAAATTACGTCAAACCACGCAAAGTGCAGGCGGTTTACGGGAATTAGTTTCCGTCAAATTCAAAATAAATTGTTAATTCATTTCAGCATATTTTCTTTGAAACGCTGGAGGTAAGAGTCCGCCGACAGTCCGCGCCAATTTCTCCAGCAGCCCCAGCCGCAGGTGGAAAACATCGATCGGACTGCACACGCTTCCACGCGTGTCGTGGGCGTCGCCCTCCTCCTGCCATCAGATCAGAATCTCGCGTGAAATCCCTCGTTGCAAGTATCGAAATATCAAAGAGGAGCCTGACAACAGCGACACGCTTGCAAAATCGATACCGACGCCTCCCAATATGAACGTGAGCATGCGTGAGCTGGGATCGGGCACGCCGCCGGCAAGTGAAATACGACGCCGGGCTGGCTCCCAGCCGCGCCGCCCGGACGGAAATGACTCGAGGCCACGCCGACGACCTGAAACTCAGATAGAACGTGCCTGGGGACATCTCTGTGCTCGCCAGCCATTTGCCAGCAAAGCGATCGGGTAGCTTCAAAGGTCCATGACTCAAATGGCCCATGACTGTCAAAGGTCCAGGATGCTACCATGTCAGCACGCGAAAATTTGCTCGGAGGAAGAGTTTTTGATCTATTGTTATTTTTTGAAATAAATGGTTCATCAGCCCCGAATGTGACGGCTTGGATGTAGTATTAAACACAAGGTCTAACGTTTAACTTTCCTTACGGTTTCGAATAAGAGCGACGGCGCAGTCCAGCATTAAAACTACATTGCAGCATGCTACAAAATAAATCGCTTACAAAATAATCCCTAATTACCCCTGGCCTCAACCGCCGGAAGCCAATGAAGCATATTGAGCTAAGCACACCATAATGCTTGTTGTGTGCGATCACGAAGATTCAAAACTTGCTCTTTGGTCATGTGTGATAGGGAAGAACCATCACTCTCCTTTCCGAACGTGATCTCGATTAGCTTCAGGCCACTGCTTTGACTGAACTCGAGCGCCGCTTCCGGCTCACCAGTCCTCCTGCCTCCTAGCCTTCAGCCTCTGGCCTGACCAGCAGAGTTCTGAAAGCTTACGCATGTCTCCCACAATATTAAAATGGTATGACACGTCTCGTTAACTGTCGCCCTGCTTGGTCGTTTTCCATGACGTAGGGCGGTACCTGACCGCTCCCTGGCATTTCCAGACTAAAGAAGATAGAGCTTAGCGGAAAACATCAGTGCATTTGCCCCAATGAGATCTTGCGATTGGTGCCAGCTTTTAAATTGGTACATATACTTGGTTGTTCAATAATTGACCCCATTATCGCAGTGGCAGGTCAAAGGTCAAATTTTCCAGAAAATCTACTTTTCAGCTTCACATCACACGAACGAGACAATGCGCTGTGGGAACACGAAGCTTGAATAGGCTGTTACGTGTTTCCTATTCTGAGCACAATGTGCATATTGGCATACGATTTGAGGATACGTTGGGGCCATATGGCTCCGTTACTGTAACAGTGACGGCCTGCCGTTACTGTAACAGTGACGGCCCGCCGCGCGCGTTTCGCAGCATCGTTGGTTGCCGCCCGCCGTCCGCGCTGGCCGAAGAGCAGCGTTCCTTAAAACCGCCGCTGCTCCGAAACCAGAAAAAACAAGGACCACGTTTCAGATGCCAAAACAGGCTCAATAGATGCCCTGCAGGGTACGGAAAATTTTGGCGCGATTGCAAAGCATGTCAGGGACGTATTCTCAAAAAAGTTTGGGGGGTTTGATTCTGCCATAACGGCGAGGGTTACGGCCAGTTGATTTTTACATTCAAATACATTTTTCCTCCTATAGCCTTTCTGGGGAATTAAACTGGACTCCCTTCCTGTCAGCCACTAAGCCTATGATAATAACAAATTAAGATATGATTTCAAGGATGTCTTATTATTTGTGACGCTAAAGAAGTTGGTGTCAGAATGAAGTCATGAAAAATGTCAGAAGAAGAAGTGAGGAAAAAACGAACTGCACAATGAAGTTACCCTTACCGACGCCTCACGTTGAAATTCTGCTCTTAATGAAAATCCTAAGGAAAATCAGATCTTAACCGCAGTGAACTGAGCATCGTCACGTAACGTAATAAACAGAAAAAATGTTCAGAATTTTAGAAATTCAGTCCAATGCCTCATTTGCAGCCATGTGCACTACACATATTGCTGGACAGGCGCCTACGTAAAACTGGTATGCCCTATCAGCGTGCCTCGACCAAGGTATGTAGGTAGCTAGCTTCTATTTACACCCTCGATACCCACCCGCCGAACGTTACATCCTTGCCCATCCATTCTTTAATTTTACCTACGCTTGCCAGCTCCTCACAACCCCTCCGACAACATAAAGTCCGTGACACGAGCCCAGATGATTAACAGTGCTCAATGCCGTAATGGCGCATTTTAAGACACTCCGCGCCACCCTGACAGTAACGAAGTTATGGACAATTATCGTAATGACGTTATTAGGTTGTTGATCACCTTTACTGCACCATACCCTTTTTGCCAGTTAGGGTTAAATGAAGGAATTAAATTATTTATTTGAATGTTTTAGCAAACAAAGCTGGCACAGAAACTCAACTTGACGATTACATGACGTCATGTGAAACTCATATAAAGAGTTGCTGTGTTCAGTGAGCGGTCAAATTTTTGCTGCGCTGAGGAAACAGCGCAGAAGGACGAGGAGCATATGGAAAACTGAACTGTGCTGTGCTGGAAAAAGTGTAGGCCACTCAAACATAGTTTCTTCTTTCAGCGTT